CCCCCCCCCCACCCCACAGGAACCCGATCGAAAATCTGCACTTGCTGTTCCTTCCGTACCTTGCGACGCGACTGCGTACGTACGTATCTATGCACGGTTGCCCACTCACTGCCACTCTTTTCAACGAGTACTAAGTCTACCAGGGGGCAAAAGAGGCAGCACTATTCTCAATTCTTGCGCGGACTCACGACAACCCACATACAATAATAGCGCAGTGGCAAATAGCCTGAATTATCGCAGAGGCGCTTCAACACGACAATGTTGCGCCTCATATTGTGACTGTGTGAGGAACACGAGGTCTTTCACCCGGCCAAGCAAGACAAGAGTTTTAGCCTGGACAAGCATCATGAGACGAAATGCTTTGCAGTATCGGTCACAGGGAAAACGGTTCGTGACAAGGCATCGAAATGGCCGTTTCATGCCAATGTCACCATACTCAGAATAGCAGAATAGCTTCACACATGTCTCGCTTTCTCGGCCCATCCCAATCTCCCAGCGAGCTGTCAACCCAGCATTTATTTATTTGACCAGGTCAACGGCGGTTCCAGACTGACACGGGAATAATTAATGCTCGACGTACGTAGTAGATCCTAGAGTCTTATACCTCTTGCCTATAGGGTCTGTGACGACGCTTATCTTGAGAATCCAGATACGGCAAATGGAACCTGTGCGGGCTCAAAACCGACCGGGTTTTGACAACAACCCAGACTGGTCGACAAGCGACATGAGTGGATATTGATACAGACAGAACTTTTTTGCATGAGGATTTTACTGGTTCTGATTTATCTGGTTGGACCGAATGCTGGGTTGAACTGATAGCGGGACTCTGTCCCAGTCTCTCCCAGTCCCTCCTCCGGCCCTCCTCCCCCTCCATCAGCACAAGAAGTGAAAGCGAGAAAGTGGGAAACCAAAACCAAGTCCCCATCAAAAGAAACACATTTGTCTCAATTCACCCAATCATGAGATCCTGATATGACGTTTCTTAATTTAGCCACCCATCATGGGCGAAAGTGAGATGGATGTCTTGGATTGCCCACCTCACCGCGGCCCTACTGCGGGTCGGTGGTTTCGGATGTCTCATGTCGCCTCGTCGAACAATAATGCGGCCGTCGTCATAGTTGGAGAGGCACCGCTCCAGCAAAACCACTCCAGCTGCGCTCCATTTTTCTCCCCCATCTCGCCCGCTTGATAGGATTTCTCTCCTGCTGCCATAATCCATCATAATCCTTGTTGTGTTGCTGTTGGTTTAATCGACAAGTCACTCGTTTTGTTCGTCTTTTATTCCTCCCTCATATCCAACTCTCTACTGGTTTATACTTCCCGCCGTTCGTTCGCTTCCCCGGAGTCAGGGCATGTAGGACAATTTCAGTGTTATTCTTATCTTTTTTGAGTCGCGCAATTATCGGTGCAGACCACTTTCTTGATGTTCGTCCCGGCAATGCAGCGCTCGGCGATTCTGATCCTATCGTTGCTGAGCATCACTGCATTCGGCTGGCCGTACGATGAATCGCTCGTTGACTACAACTTGAATGAAAACAAATCAGCAGAACACCCAATCAATTACTGGGGAGAATGGTCGGGTCACGACTACCATCCCTCGCCAGATAACTGGCGCTTTCCCGTCTATACGATTTTCCTGGACCGCATCGCGAACGGTGATCCCGCAAACGATGACATTAACGGAACAACCTTCGAACATGTATTGAACTCCAATCAAATGCGCCATGGCGGCGACTTGGTCGGCTTGATTGATTCGCTGGACTACATCCGGGGTATGGGCTTCAAGGTATGGGAAATCACAGACCTTTGATACCGTGTGACGTTGCTGACCGGTTAGGCTATCTACTTCGCTGGAACCGCCCTGATGAACCTTCCTTGGGCCTACGATGGCTATTCCCCAGTTGATACCACTCTTCTCGACATGCACCATGGCACACTCGAGGACTGGAGACGGACCGTTACCGAGATCCATGACCGTGACATGTATGTGATTATGGACAATACGCTTGCAACGTGAGTATCACCCTCGAGACCCCTCGCATTCAAGACTTTTAGCTCACTTTTCCGCAGTTTGAGTAACCTGATCGGTTTCAAAGGCCATCTTAACGACTCGGCTGATTTCAACCCGAAAGAGTACGAAGTCGAGTATATCTCAGAGAGACAGTACGCGGACTTTAAATTCGGAAACGATTACAACGAGACTTGCAATTACCCAAGGTTCTGGAACGAAACTGGATATCCATTGACCGGCGGAGGTGTCGAGGATCTGAAAGGTTGCTACAACAGCGACTTTGACCAGTACGGAGAATTGGAGGCATTTGGTAACTTCCCTGACTGGAAGCGCCAACTCACCAAATTCGCCTCGGTGCAGGACCGTCTCAGAGAATGGCACAAACCCATCCGCGATGTCATCACCCAGCATTCCTGCATTGTGATTGCGAGTCTCGATATTGACGGTTTCCGATTCGATAAAGCTGTACAGTCGACCCTAGATGCACTCGGTGACATGACTGCTGTATATCGTGAATGTGCGAAGAAATATGGAAAGAAGAACTTCTTCCTCCCTGGCGAAATCACGTCCGGAAATACCTTCGGTAGTCTTTATCTCGGCCGTGGCCGTCAGCCTGACCAGACACCAGACTCAGCAGGAGCCGCTGTCAAATTGACGAATACTTCGGATGAGTACTTTCTTCGAGACGATGGGCTTCAGGCACTTGATGCCGCTGCCTTCCACTACACGATTTACCGGTCGATGACTCGTTTCCTCGGCATGGACGGTAACTTGGTCGCCGGTTTCGACTTGCCCACGGATTTCATCGAGGCTTGGAACGGCATGTTGGTGACGAACGACATGATCAACGCGATCACAGGCGAGCTCGACCCGCGACACATGTACGGAGTCTCTAACCAGGACAACTTCCGCTGGCCCGCTGTCAAAAATGGCACGGATAAGTATCTCCTAGGTTTGTACATTGTCACACTGGAGCTTCCTGGTATTCCTCTAGTTCTGTGGGGCGAGGAGCAGGCCATGTACGTGTTTGACGCCACAGCCTCGAATTATCTATTTGGTCGGCAGCCCATGACTTACCACACTGCCTGGTGGACGCACGGCTGCTTCAACCTGAACACTTCCAAGTTCTACGATTTCCCCAACGAGAAGGGATTGTACGGGTGCCATGACATTACTGTCACCTACGACCAGCGGAACCCGGCTCACCCTCTTCGCAACATCATGAAGCGTATGTTTGAGGTCCGCGAGCACTACCCGGTTGCCAATGATGGTTTCTACCTCGAGACGATCTCTCAGCTCACCCAGGATATCTATTTGCCTGGATCGTCGACTACGCCAACAGTCACTGGTCTCTGGTCAGTGCTGCGAAGCTACTTCCCAGGCGTTCAAAAGGAGTCTACCGGGGCCAATAACACCATCTGGCTCGTCTACCACAACGACAACAAGACAGTCACCTACGGCGAAAACTGTAGCAACAAAAGTTCTGCATTGCTGGCTCCTTTCAAATCGGGTTCAAAGCTGAAGAACGTTTTCTATCCGTACGACGAGCTTGAGTTGGAAGATGGTCCCAGTGGCCAGGACTACGGCTGTTATAAAGGCATGAAGCTGCTTCCTTGGGAGTACCGTGCCTACATTGAAGCTGAAGACTTCGTTGAGCCTCGTCCTACCGTGACCGAATTTATTCCTGGTCACGACGTGCGCCTACTTTCCATGGATGACAAGGCTCAGACGGTCAATATCTCGTTTGGCTACTCGAAAGAGATGGACTGCGACGGTATCACGAAAGCAGTCTCCCTGAACTCCACAACTCACAAGGGTGTCACAGCCTCATTGGACAAGTCCACAGTCACTTGCACCAATATTACTGCACGAACAAGCAAGGAGAACTATGTCGGCGAAATCCCCACGATTTGGACATGGTCTGCTCAGTTGACCGATGTCTACCATGGTGTCCATCAAATCACCGTCAAGAATGTTTCCACTACCTCTGGGACTCACACTGACTCTGTGGACCGGTTCTTGTTCCGTGTCGGATCTCCGAGCAATCCTCTGATCTCGCCGTTGATGAACTACTCGAGTACCCTGGTACACAAGTCCGACAATGGAAATGTTATTGTGCAGCATGAGGCTGCGGGTGCCGATCAGTTTCGCTACTCGACGACTTTTGGCCGGAGCTGGTCCAACTGGACCACGTATGAAGGTGGCAACACCACTATTCAGGAACTTGAATTTGACGGCACGAAGAGCCAGAAATGGAAGGGAACACACGTCCAGGTGCAATACTTTTCCAGACTTACTGGCAGCAGTGCGTATCTGCAGGAAGGTGATGTTGACTGGGAGGATGGGGTGCCTCGCCGATTCCCTCATCTGTGGTGGAATGGTCCATACAACCAGTATGGTTACGATTCTGGTCTAGATGCAAAAATGCGTTACGATAAGAAAGAGCAGCGCTGGAAGTACGATTTTGTCACCGAGTGGCCGTCTGTGGGACAGATCAGTGTCTGGGGGATCGGAGAAGATGGTATCCCTGATACGACCGAGGTTTACGGCGATGTCGACAACTCGTCCGTGGTGCAGAAGCTTCCTCCGTCATACCTCTCTTCCAACGTGATTAACATCACTGATCTGCCTCCCTTCCCACACCTCGGGTGGACCATCTCCTTGAACGATGCCACCTTCCGATATGATTTGCTCCCTGTTGGATCGGGATGGGCGCAGCTTGTGCTCTATGTCCTGTTGTGGGTCATTCCGATCCTTATGGGTCTTGTGGGTGTCTACTTGTTCATTCGGACATTCTATCGCGTCGAACTCAACACCGACGGTAACATGGTTACCAAGGATGGTGCAATGCCGCTAGTCTTCTGGCGCCGACTCAAGGACAAGCTCGGTAGTGACGACGACTCGGTTCACGCAATGTCTGACGTATCAGGGCCAATGGACGTGGCAATTGCCGGCGTTCCTGAAGAACGGCGGACCGTGCTTATCGCTACCATGGAATACAACATTGAGGACTGGAAGATCAAGGTCAAGATTGGTGGTCTTGGTGTAATGGCGCAGCTCATGTCCGCGAATCTCAAGCACCAGAACCTGATCTGGGTTGTTCCTTGCGTTGGTGATATCGATTATCCCACTGACTCGCCTGCTGAACCTTTCGTCGTCACCATTCTAGAGAAGCCATATCTTGTGAACGTCCAGTATCACATTGTCGATAATATTACCTACGTGCTTCTTGACGCGCCAGTCTTCCGTCAACAAACTAAAGCGGAGCCTTACCCACCTCGTATGGACGATCTTGAGAGTTCCATCTACTACTCAGCTTGGAACCAGTGTATCGCCGAGACTATCAAGCGATTCCCCTCGATCAATCTCTATCACATTAACGACTTCCACGGCTGCTTGGCACCTCTGTACCTTCTGCCAAGTCAAACCATTCCCGTCTGCTTGTCTCTGCATAACGCCGAATTCCAGGGTCTCTGGCCATTACGCACCCAGCAAGAGAAGAAGGAAGTTTGCTCTGTCTTTAATCTTCCCGTCGAGGTTGCTACCAAATACTGTCAATTCGGAAACGTGCTCAACCTTCTTCATACCGGAGCCAGTTACCTACGATTCCATCAACGCGGGTTCGGCGCTGTGGGCGTGTCCAACAAATACGGAAAGCGCTCTTGGGCTCGTTACCCGATCTTCTGGAGTCTTGACAAAATTGGCAGTCTTCCGAATCCCGATCCCTCTGACACAGCTGCCCTGGACGAGAACGCAGATGCTCCACTTCTTTCTACTGAAGAGCGAATTGAGCACAAGCTGCAGGCGCAGAAATGGGCTGGACTGAACGAGGACCGTGATGCTGATCTGCTCGTCTTCGTGGGCCGATGGTCGAAACAAAAGGGCGTGGATTTGATTGCCGATGTCATGCCGGCCATCCTATCTGCCAGACCTAATGTTCAACTGATTTGTGTAGGCCCAACCATCGATCTTTACGGTAAGCTGGCGGCCACCAAGTTGGAGCGGATTATGGAGATGTTTCCTGGAAGAGTTTTCTCTAAGCCAGAGTTTACCATCCTGCCTCCTTACGTCTTCTCGGGTGCCGATTTCGCGCTTATTCCATCGCGAGACGAGCCATTCGGTCTGGTCGCTGTTGAGTTTGGTCGAAAGGGTGCCCTGGGAATTGGTTCTCGCATCGGTGGACTGGGCCAAATGCCTGGTTGGTGGTATACTGTGGAATCAGATGCTACACGCCACTTGTTGCATCAATTGAAAAAGGCCATCAAGTCTGCGCTCGACTCGACTCAGGAAACCCGTGAGGAGATGCGTGCCAACTCCGCCAAGCAGCGTTTCCCTGTACTCGAATGGATCCAGAAACTTGAAGTACTACAAAGAACCGCGATCCAGATCCACTACAAGAAGAACCAGAGCACCGTCGCAGGCCCCATGCCGGAATCACAGACCTACTGGGAGACACCTAGCATGCCTCCGAGTGCCCGTAACTCCACGCTGAGCCTTACTGGGTTGGCCGACGGAGGCTCGGACAATTCTCCCGGAAAGGTCATGCTTAATGCGCAGTCTCGACTACAAGAATTGCAGGCAGATGATAACAGGAACAGCGGCCTCGGCCGCAAACTTTCTCTTGGTCGACGAGCTGGGCCTGGCCAAGGCAAGAAACTTTTTGGCAAGCCACGCGGCAGTAGAATTGTTGAGCAGGAGGACGATGATCTGACTGATTTCGATGATGAAACCGATGCTACTCACCAGTCGGACTACATCTCTCCCGACGAGGCGATGAGGGCAGTAAACAGCACTCTGGCGGCGCAGGAACTCGGACAGACACTCGGAAATGGAAGCTCACTCTCACTGGCCGGTCCCCGACGGGGTTCTCACCTTGGGGTTCCAGGCTCACCCGGCCAGATCTCGCGAGCATCTTCTCCGCTCCCGACTCCATCTGACTGGCCCTTGTCTCCAGGCTTGAGTGAGACGACTCCCTTTGCCCATGCTCGCAATGTGTCTGTTCTATCTCTACCTTCCGTTGTGGGTGACCACAGTCATGGCAACGAGACCCAGCCTGTCTTTGAACTACAGAAGGTCGATCCTACCTTCACGGACAGCATGGGCCACTTCACTCGACGCTTCGAGGAGCGTCTTAGGAAGTACGACAAGAACTCCATCAATGATGACTGTATCGAGACCTACCTGATGAAGAGTGAACGCAAGTTCTTCAACATGTACAACGACGCGCAGCTTAAGAAGCACATTGAAGACCGACCCATGACCTCGCCCAAATCCGAGAATTTTGTCCAGGACACCTCGTACAATCGTGTCTCAGACGCAGGGCCGAACTCCAACGAAGATGAGATTGACCGATGGCTCGCTCGTTTGGGGTACAGCCGTCCGATGTTCCTACAGCGATTCATGAGGCGGCGCATTGGAAATTGGCCGATTTACGCTCTCTTCCTTGGTCTTGGGCAGATTATCGCGACGAACTCCTCGCAAATGACCTTGTTGGCCGGTCAGGTTGGTGAAACAGCCACCAAGGTATATGTTATTGCCGCGATTTACTGTGTTTCTTCGATCTGTTGGTGGTTCCTGTACTACACTGTTCCTTCGGTGATCGTCCTCAGTCTTCCCTGGTTTATCTACTGTATGGCTTTCGTGGTCATGGGCATTTCGCCATTTGGTGCCTCGACTCTTGGTCGCGCATGGGCTCAAAATGTGGCTGCTGGTGTGTATGCTGCTGCGTCCTCCAGCGGCTCGCTCTTCTTCGCCCTCAACTTTGGTGATCAGGGTGCAGTCCCCGTCAAGGATTGGATGTTCCGTGCCGCTATGATCCAGGGTATTCAGCAAATCTACACCGTCGCTCTCTGGTACTGGAGTCAAAGGGTCACAACGGTCGAGGTCGCCGGCGTTTCTACTCTCGCCCTGAACACCTGGCGCCTGACTGCAGTGGTGATGCCCATCGCCGCTGTATGCTTCGTGATCGGTGTCCTTCTTGCTCTGGGTCTGCCAAAGTACTACCGTCAGGCACCGAGCCGTATCCTCGACTTCTACACCTCGCTCCTCCGGCGCCGCATCGTCCTCTGGTTCTTCTTTATGGTGATCATTCAGAACTGGTTCCTTGCCGCTACCACTGGTCGCAATTGGTCCTTCCTGTGGTCCTCTAAGCATGCGAAGACATGGGAGGTTGTTATCCTCGTGATTGGGTTCTTTATCGTGCTCTGGATTGCTATAATGCTTCTCTTCCGCTACCTGGGCAAGGAGCATACCTGGGCACTCCCTGTCTTCGGATTGAGCTTGGGTGCCCCTCGATGGGCCCAAATTTGGTGGGGAACCTCGAATATCGGGCACTACCTCCCTTGGGCTGGCAGTCTTACCTCTGGTGCGCTTGTTTCGCGAGCCATCTGGCTTTGGCTGGGTGTTCTCGACGAGATACAGCAAGTCGGACTTGGTATGATCCTCCTGCAAACGTTGACCAGAGTCCACGTTTGTTTTGTGCTCTTGGCCGCACAGGCCTTTGGCTCCATCGCTACGATGGCCGCGCGTGGATTTGCCCCGAACAAGGTTGGACCAGGTGGTATTTCGCCCGATGTGGGCACCAGTGTTGACAAGGTTGGGAACGCCTGGTTCTGGATCTCGCTTTTCTTCCAACTTCTGGCAGCGTAAGTGTTTTCCCTCGTCTTCAATCGTTGCGTACAGTTATACTAACGTGGTTTATAGCTGGGGTTTCTTCTTCTTTTACCGAAAGGAACAGCTCAACAGGCCTTGATGTGATCATGACTTGTGTTTAATCTTGTTTTGCATATACCATGCATACATATATTATCTCATTTGCATCTATAGAGAGCCTGTATAGACCCGTTTGGTCTTTTTTTGTCTGTGGATTCCGCAGTATTTCTAGCGTTGTGGGTATGATAGAGTGTGCTTGCTGTATATACTCATGAGTAAATAGTTTTGGAGAGGTAGCTGTTGTTGTGTGGTGGTATAAATATCAGTTCTCACGTCCATTCTTCTTCCCTCAGGCTGAGCGTATCCCATGATAGGTAGTAGTCTTCCATATTCTTTTTTTTCCCACCACATAATTGTAGCAGTAGCAGTTAGGGCTACCGGCCGGCCATGGCCACCGAGAAAAATCTCAGGCTACGCCTCAACCTCCCGCGTTGCCAAGAACCGTAGTCACGACAGACACGACAGAAGAAATGGACTCGCGGATTTGGATTTGTGGATCGGAGTAACAGGCTGCTTAGTTCAATGGCTCATGGATTATCTGGCCAGGTGTTCACGAAGGTTCCAATCCCGGATGGGACATTCCGAATCCTGTGATACTACTGTATCTGTATCTGTCCCTGTGCCTGTGCCGCCTATGCCTGTGCCTGTGCCTGTGCCTGTGCCTGTGCCCGCAGTGGTGCGGTGCATCACTGTCTGAATCATGGCCGTTTGCGGCGGGTTTCATTCCCTTTATAGGATTCTTATCTTTGTTAGTCTTGAAATGTTTTTTTTTTTGGAATCTTCGTCTATAGCTTGGGTATTAACCAGGCTGTCATTTGTCGTGGTATTGACATAAAGCAGGGAGTTGTTTGAGGGTATATGCGACTCTATTGCGATTCGGATGTTTAGATCTTAGTTTATTGTTGGGGGTCTCGTGTTCATTGACTTATTTGCCTGCCCTGCGATGCTGAAGTTTCTACTCTTCGAGTATCTTGGACTCAGGAATGGTTGATATTCACATTTCTACATACATACGGTCGGTGTGGATTGTTTCCTCCCTTCCGGTCCCGTCCGTTCCCCTTACAGACTCATCTTCCCCCTCGTCTCGACGGGGACCCCCAGCACCAGCAAGCCGGCGAGGACGAACATGCCGCCGCTGATGTAGACGGGGACGCTGGTCTGGATGCCGGCGACGATGGCGATGACGGGGGCGAGGATGCCGCCGATGCGGTTGGCGCCGCCGACGAGGGCGTTGCCGGTGCCGCGGTACTGGGTCTCGAAGATCTCCGGGGTGTAGGCGTAGAGCACGGCGTACAGGAGGCTGCTGGTGAAGCTGTAGGCGCAGTTCCAGCCCAGCAGCGCGGCCGAGGAGCCCGCCGTGGTCGACGCCAGCAGGAAGGCTCCCGTGCAGCAGGCGCCCACCGCCAGCGTGCCCTTGCGGCCTAGCCGGGGGATCTCCACCATGACCCCGCCCACCAGACTGCCGGGCACCCCCACGGCGCTGATGATCAGTGAGTTGCGGTAGGTGAGGTACGTGCTGCCGTCGCCGAATTGTACCCCTCGGGTTTGTTGGAGGTAGGGGAGGAAGGCGTTGTAGAGCGGGAAGCCCAGGCCGATTAGCGCCCAGATCAGGATCATTAGGATCGTGGTGCGCGCGCGTTGGCGTGAGGCGAAGAGGGCTTTGAGTGAGGTTAGGCTTAGGAGGGAGAGGCGCGCGCGGAGGTGGTCGGCTAGGCGGAGGGGGTGGTGCTGGTGCTGGGGTTGTTGTTGGGGTTGGGGTTGCTGGGGGATGGGGGCTGCGTTGTCATTGTTGTCGTTGGCGAAGAGAGAGCGGTCTTCTCCTCCGTCTTCGTCGGTGAGGTCGTCGATGGAGAGGGTGGTCGTCTTGCCGTTGCGCCGGGCCACTTCGTGGATCACCGTCACGGATTCTTCGTACAGGCCCTTGCCCATGAGGTATTTGGGGGATTCATAGAGGGTGAAGAAGACGCAGCGCGCGATGCACATGACGAGCGCGATGCCGCCCATCGTGAGCAGGAAGTAGCGCCAGCCCATGTTGGATGATTTGGTGCAGTTGGCGGCCGAGGCGCACGTCATGTTGCCGATCAGCGGCCAGGCGACGAGGTTGGCGAGGACTTGCGCCAGCGCCCAGTTCAGCGAGAGCACGGTCAGCAGGTACTGATGCGAGCCCGGCAGGAATTCGAGGAAGATGGCCGAATCGACGGGCAGGTTGCCGCCCACGCCGAAGGACCATAGGGCTGTGAAGACCCCGACCGCGGCGAAGGTGGGCGACCCCGCGGCGATCAGCCCGAAGATGGCCGTGATGGCGATGGTCATGTTGAAGGCCCATCGACGGCCGAACACGTCGCAGGTGAAGCCCCAGAAAAGCGAGCCCGCCAGCAGTCCGATGTTCTGGGCCAGCGACAGTAACGGCGGCTGCGCGACGTGGAATTCGTAGGAGACGGGCACCAGGATCAGCGAGGTCACGATGGGCCAGAGGTTGTCGCTGGCCCAGCCAAAGCCGATCACCCCGAACAGCTGCCATTGATACCGTCCCATGCCGATCTCTTGGATGGCACGGTTCAGCCGGTCCGCCTTGAAGCGATAGTCGGATGCTGCGGCATCATTGGGATAGGATGACTGCTCGGATAGTGGACTGGTGGAATGTAAGGGCTGTGACTCGCTGGGCTTGGAGGAGAGTGTGGTCGTGGTCATGGTCATTGATGTGATTTAAAGATGTGTTGGAGAAATTGGAGTCTGAATGAGGGGGGGAGGTGGAAATTAATTGAGTCTTGAGTCTTGAGTCTTG